ATATCAAGGACATGATCAAGAAGTTTGGCATGAGTGATAGCAAAGCCATTAGTACATCAATGGGAATAAATGGCAACTTAGATAGTGATGCAAGTGGCAATATGGTGGATCAAAAATTATATCAATCTATGATTGGAAGCCTACTCTATGTGAGCGCATCAAGGCCGGATGTCATGTTTAGTGTATGCATGTGTGTAAGATTTTAGGCCTCACCAAGAGAAAGTCATTTGAAGGCTACAAAGAGAATATTGAGGTACTTAAAGCATATACAAAATGTTGATTTGTGGTATCCCAAAGGAGTAAAGTTTGAGCTAGTTGGTTACTCTGATTTGGATTATGCGGGATGCAAGGTTGAAAAGAAGAGCACCTCGGGCACATGTCAATTGTTGGGAAGATCACTTGTTTTATGGCCATCAAAGAAGCAAAATAGTGTTGCATTATCAACCGCCGAAGCCGAATACATATCCGTCGATAGTTGTTGTGCACAAATACTTTGGATAAAGGCCACCTTGAATGACTTTGGAATCAAGTTCAAGAAAGTACCATTGCTATGTGACAATGAGAGTGCAATCAAGTTAACCAACAATCCGGTTCCACATGCAAGAACAAAGCACATTGATATCCGCCACCATTTCATAAGAGATCACCAACAAAAAGGGGGCATTTGCATTGAGAGTGTAGGCACCGAAGATCAACTTGTCGATATATTCACCAAGCCATTAAATGAGAAAAGGTTTTGCAAGCTAAGGAATGAGTTGAACATATTGGATTTCTCAAATATGTGTTGATGCACCTCCTCACTTATATGACATGCCTCTCCTTCGAGCAATTCAAGGTAAAAGTTGATTGGCATGGCATACATCCTTGCTAAGGACATATTTAGTACATCTAGTCATTTTTCACATTTAATAGGCTCATTCATGAAAATCAAATTATTTTGATGTTTGTATGGTACCACTATTGCTTCTCTGCTTAATTTAGTCTAGTGGTAGCATATGACATGCTTGTAGGCTTGTAAATCTAGTGTTTGATCTAGAAAATGAGCTCTAAGTGTTTAACTCAACATGGTACAAGATAACCCTTATTTGGAGGTGTGAAGAAGCTTGTCCTTGGATCAAACCAAGTTAAATTTCTTTGGCAAGTATTCTAGATTGAACAAAATTTGGGAAAATAATCCTCACCCCATTGATTGACATTGATAATCTCAACCTATATACGTTTTAACCTTTGTGGTCATTGATGACAAAGGGAGAGAAATAGTGTACAAAGATAGTGAAAAGACAACAAAAATAGTGAAAAGACAACAAAGAGGGAGAGAAACAAAGATATAAGTGATAGAGGAGAATTTGACATTGGGGAGAGATATGACAAAGGAAAGAGATCAATTAAAATTTTGAGCAAACAAGTAGGGGAAGCAAGCTCATAAACTTGGTGGATGCATTTGAATGTGCATTTCATATGCTTGCTTGCATGTCACAAGTTTTAAATTTCAATATCCATGCTTGTGTGGTGTATGCTAGTTGTAGGTTTGAATGATGAAATAAAAAACTAGCATGCATAGGTTAAGTAACTAGACTCATGCTCATATTATGAAAACTAGACCCTTACTTCTAATATTGATCTCATGGAGTATTCTAGTTTTTATGTATGTCTAGTTACTAATGGTGCTAAGGATGGTAGATTGGTACAATCCGATTGATATCACGCTTCAAAGGTCCATCTTTTATACCTTAGCATCATTTGGTAGACATTGTCTCCTATATTTCCTATCTAAGCATATGTGCAAGCTACAATCCAAACTTTTAGCACATATGTAGGGGGAGCAATTGCTACCATATGTGATTCATAAAACTTGTCCATATCCTTTTACACATGGTAAATATACTTGGGCAAGCAACATGGATTTAATTTAAATTTCAATTCATATCTTTGTGTAAGGGTTGTCATCAATTACAAAAAGGTGCAGATTGAAAGCTCTAGTTTGGTTTTGGTGAATTGATGAAACCCTTAGTGCTAACCTAGTTTATCAAAGTGATTATGAGACAGGTAGCACTACTCCAAAGTGATAAAGCAATTGAAGATCATGACATGATGATGATGATGGTATGGTGAAGATCAAATGCTTGGACTTGGAAAAGAAGAAAGAAAAAACAAAAACCTTTGAGAGCTTATTAGTTTGGTTAGTGTGGCTCTTTAGTTAGCCTTTGAGAGCACACTAACTTAGTGTAGTGACATAGCCATTGTGTGGATAGAGACTAAATAAACTAGAATCGTAGTAGGTGGTTTGTATTTTTAGTAGGCTAGTGTAACACTTGCTTCGCCTCATAATTGTCTAACCGATTTACTAAGTGTTGTTGTAGAATTTTTTAATATGCTATTCACCCCACTCTAGCCATTAGGACCTTTCATCATCGCCACCACAGATATTAGGGCACCTCTGCTGACTTCCATCATTGTCTTCCTCGCACATACTAGGTATGATTAGTCGATTGTGCGCAATCCACCCAGCTCCCGTGACATCTTAGGTCTCAAATGGTTTTGTCGTCTCTTCTAGAAGTCCAAATTGCTTTAATGTTTTTCAACTCTTGTAGCTCCACCTATACAATGTGAAACCACTTTTGTTAGTCTAAACTGCCTGACAAATATTAGGGCACATTTTTTTTCAATTTCCCCATCCAGAAGTTCATGTTGAGCGATCGATATTTCTCTCTCTCAAATGATAAAAAAAATTAACGCTTGTCTTAGGCCAGTGTCAACTAGGAGTTTCATGGCTTCAAATAGAATGAAATGAAATATGGATGAAATGTCCACTCTCAATGAAAAGTTTTATTCTATAATTTCATGACTCATAGAGAGTTGGTAATCGTCCCAACAGAGTTTCATCTCATTTCTTCTCTCTTCTTAAAAATGTTGTCATGTCATAAAAAATACATATGTGACAACCTATTAAATATAAATAAAACTCACATAAAACTATCACTGAGACTGGCCTTACCTACACCGTTGCTGAAGAATGCCACCTCCCGTGTGGTGGTTGGTCACGGCATCGTGGACATGGTGATTACGTGAGGAGGAGCTGGTGGCTAGACTAAACTAAACAACCAACAAACCTACGCGTCGAGGTGGCAAACAAAAAAGTCTTCAGGAAGGGAGAGAAGGATGACATAGATGTGCCTAATTGATAGAGCTCATTTCTTCTTAAACTCCAAAACCAAACATCTTACCCATCAATTCTCAATATAGTTTAATTTACCTCCCTCCCCAAGTTAGAAATAGTTTTCAAGGGAGTTCCATCCTTTTTATTTTAAAAATATGCTAAATATCCGATAAGGTTTTCAAACCACATAAAAAAACTATACATAAGCTTTCAAAAATTATGAGAAAACCTTAGTGATGGACTTAGACACAGAAAACTCAAATAAAATATTTATGGGTCATGAAAGTATTTCTAAATGTTTCCAAAAAATATATTTGGCTCTAGAAAAATGAGAAAATATCCAAAAAATCAGGGAATTCCAAAACATTGTAATTTATGTCTAGACATTGTCGATGCGGGACCTACAGGATACCCTGCAAGAGAGATAAAAGATCTAGTTCAACTAGGATTCTTCCCATGGATTCTTAAATAGAAGAACTACTAAGTAATCCTACTAGGAAATCTCATTGTAAACCGACTAGGACTCTGGTCTCCTGATAATATAAAGGAGGGCAGGGCTCCTGAAAGAGAGGACAACAATTGTACAACATAACACTTCATAATCAATCCAACGCAGAAGGCAAACACCGACTGGACATAGGGTCGTTACTCGATCTACGATCGAGGGCCTGAACCAGGATAAATCGACTGTCTCTTGTGTTTACCATCGAGTTCAGCATACGCCGAAGCCCGAACGATACTGCCACGGTACCCCTGTGGCAGGCTATCGGTGGTAAAACATCGACAGACATGTTTTTCAAAACTATTCACAACAAAAAATAAGATGAATTTAGCATTAGCTTTATGTTGCATTCTTGCTGGTTGCATCTCATATTTTTGTTTTAGAAAGTTTTTAAAATTCATTATATATAAATTACAATGTTTTGGGAATGTTACATATTTTTCTAGATATTTTTTTTTCTATTTTCTTAGTGCTAAATCTATTTTTTTTGGAAGATTCTAGATATATTTTTTACCCTGAACATTTAAAAGCTTAGAGACATTTTTCATGGTTTAAAAACCTTATTATCATTTATAAGATTAAGACTTTATTAAACAAAAAAAAATGATGCAACCACCTTGGAAACTACTTCCAACTGAGGTAGAGAGGTAATTTAAATAATTTTTATAGATGCCAGTTTTGGAGTTTATAAGTGGGAAAAAATCAGATCATTACCCAAGGACCTTTTGCTTGTTTTTTTTAGGAAAAGGACCTTTTCTTTGTTTTTTTGGAATCATGCTTTTTTTTTGAGAAACAGGACCTTTTGCTGTTTTTTTAGCAACAGGACCTTTTGCTTTGTTGGGATCGGTTTTTCAGTCCGCTAACAGTACAGCCCATTTACTCGTGATGTCAAGAGGCTAACAGTACAGCCCATTTTCAGTCCGCTAACAGTACAGCCCATTTTTCAAGATTCCCCGTCACATCGAATCTTTGGACCTATACATGAAGCATTAAATATAAATAAAAAATAAAACTAATTACATAGTTTAAACGAAATTCACGAGACGAATATTTTAAACCTAATTAGACTATGATTAAATACTAATTACCAAATAACAACGAAAGTGGTGCAGTACCATTTTAAAAAAAATTCGCCAGCTAAACAAGTCGCAAGGCCCAATCCGAGAACTCTGGCCCTAAAAAACACTGCGCGCCCTCGGAGTCAGAGGCGCCAGTGTTTCGCCGTCTCGCCTCGCCGTCAGCAGCAGCAGCTCCACCTCCATTCCACGGCGTTCGTCGTGCGCTTCGTCTGCACGGGGACAAAGGCAACGGCGACGGCGACGGCAACGCGAGGGGGAGGAGATGAAGCTGAAGCAGCTGGAGGGCCTCTTGGGTGGCCTGACCCAGTTCCCCGACCCCAAGGTACTGCGCCACCGCCACCGCCACCACCACCGCCACCTCTTGGGTGGCCTTTCTTTCTCCTTTCTCGTCTTCTGCTCGATTTCGCTTCGCCCCACCCCGACAAAAGGGAGGGGGAAAAGCAGAGGAGTATCTCTGACTTTTGCCACCGACGGCGTTGTTGGGTGTAGGTGGAGCTGGAGCAGTACCCCACGGGCCCTCACATCGCTTCGCGGATGCCGTACACGGTTAGTGCTGCCACTTGCGTCCTGCTCCGATTCCGATCCCTTCCCGCTTTGCTTCAGGATGCTATGTATCTTTCTTTTCTCGGGATAGTCTTGGGATGCGGCGCCGGGCTTTCTTGTGACGGTAGTGGGATTATGGAATTGGGTGCCACAAAGTGTAGCTTTGATTCTGAATCAACTGAGCTGCTAAGCAGTAGGTTTACGGCTGGAGTTGGGTGGCTTTGTTCTAAGAATCGTAGCTGCTTCAGAGCCCTGTCACAGAGAAAAAAAAAATCACCCTTGTGACCTTGCGTATTTGCCCCTTCTGATCTTTAGTTTTGGCAAAACATAGCACTTATACTTTTTACCGTGGCTGGCAAGGTTCATCAATGGAACTTTGGGGGACTTCCATTGAAGCCCAAGCTTGGGATTATTCCGATTTTTATGTTTTGATCTGTTTCAACCTATGATTCAACATTTGGTAATGTTTTGCTTGTTAGTCTCCTAAAAGTGTATGCAAAAAACTTCAGTGGACAACTAGTTCGAGTAGACTATTCCTTCTCTATGGTTGTCTTGGTCTGATGCAAGTGTCAATTAGATACTGAAATTCTACTACTTATGATTTGATGTTTACTTAACTTTATCATATTAATGTTGATTTGATAAACAATCAGGCGGAGAATAGTTTCGATGACATTACGGGCAAAGTGGTAGCTGACTTTGGCTGTGGCTGCGGCACTCTGGCTGTGGCAAGTGCTCTACTGGATGCTGAGTGAGTATGTTTAACTTGGTAATTTTAGGCAATCGTGGTCTTCTTCCCCTGACAATCCCTCTAGCGTGTAATGTCCACTTCGGTATTTTTTTTTTAAAAAACTTCCTGTTTAGTGCTTATGTTTGTAATTTTGCACAGTTCTTTTGTACGCTGATCGATCTGACAAAAAGTTGTTGCCTCTGCAATTGTGTCCTGATAGATTGTGCCTAAGTTCTTGCTTGCTAGTAATTGTGCACGTGTCTTGCAGGTGAAGCTAAAACAACGAACAGTATTCCATGTCATAAAATGATTTTAGATACTGTAGTATACTTTTAAATACTCCTCATTGATATATGTAACCATAAATTAATGGGTATCTCCAGTACAGGCTTGTTTTTGGTTTCTAGTTTTCTAACTTTTCTTATTGTTCATTTCTAATGTGAATTTGCTATGGTTGTGATTCACAGACGTGTTCTTGGTATTGATATTGACCCACAGTCACTTGAACTTGCTCAAGAAAATGCTGCTGATCTGGAGGTATGACAATGTTTTGTTTCTTTAGTGTTCCACTTCAACCATTCTTTTATTCTAAAATGGAGAACCATTCACTTTATTTTCCTGCTTGTGTTTTCACCTGTTAATGGTTTATGACTTGTATCAATTCCAAACTCTGTATAATATTTTAATTGTTTAGACAATATTCTCACATATACGTGGTGCAAAATGCTAACCTGCATCTTTATTTCAATGGCTTGTTAAATGTTCTAAGTAACTGCAATGCTAAATCACCTGTTAGTGTGATTTTTAAGCAAAGCTACCAGTCTAGTTGTTATTTACTCGGCCTTCTTTCTTTGTAGTAGTATGCTAGTAATGTTGGATAACTATTTGCATTGACTAAATAAAAGATATCAAAAGGTGATAGGTAACATTAGATGTCCTTCAATTTCAAAGTTCCATTGTCCTGGAAAACTGCACATATTTACATGCTTGCTGCCTGTCCACCTTGCTTCAAAATCAGCATGTAGTTTTGTACGCTGAGCTCAGATGCCACATGGTTGAGTTATTCCATAAATTGAAGTCTTCCTTCCAGATAACAATATCATATAATCTGAAGCCAGTGGTAGTTGATTATTGCAACTAATAAAGCTAAAATCATCTGAAAGCTGGATCATTGGGTACACCCAAGCTATGCCATACAACCCTGAGCAGCATTCGTGTTTGTTTATAGTTGACAAAACTAATGTTTGTGCTTGTAGAAATTAGTTGTCCTATGGTGGAGGCATGGGGCCATCTAAATCTTGTCATATAACTTCTGTGTTTAATTGAGTGCACCTAAGCAATTATAATTTCGCTTTTATTGGCTTCTCTGATGTTCTTGCATGAAGCATAAAAATACCATGGTTATGTTAAAACACATGTTCATGAAGCAGAGCTGAAAGTAGTATTTGGTGACTCTTAACTAAAACTTAAATAATTATTTGTACCTAACTTTATTTTCTCAAACTTGTGAATGACATGTATCTTTTTATTAAATGTTTGATTGTGCAGCTGGATATCGACTTAGTTTGGTCTGACATGAAGAACTTAAATTTGAAAGGTATTGTTCTCAAGTGCTAACATATTCTAACTAGTGAGGCTGAACCTCTAGTGTTTTTTTTGGTTACCGTAAAAACTATATATGCTAGTCTCTCATCTTTCTAGAACTTTTTCCCAATATTATCTGTAACTGTAATAAGTAGTCCATGTCTAGGAACTCATTTTACAGTCATAGTTTCAGTGTCCTCACTGAACTTGCTGCAGATTGATCTCCAGTGCAAATTGAATATCAGTCGCTAGTGAAGTTGCGATTCATCCTTGTGTAACATTAGCAATTGTCAGGCCAATAAAGTTGATGAAACAGCATCACACAGAGCAAATAGAACACTTTTAAAAGTATTCTTCTTTCCCTAACTGAACCTTATGTTTATGCATTCAGTATCCCAAAACATTCCCCAGCCTTGTGGCTGAATAGAAAGCAATTTAGTGCAGGCATCCATGTTGATACTGTTGTCATGAACCCTCCCTTTGGTGCACGAAGGAAAGGAGCAGACATGGAGTTCCTCTCTATGGGCTTGAAGGTCAGAACTGGTGCTTGTTTGCAATGGCAGTTTCCTTTGAAAGATGATATTGATGTTTTAAGGTGCCCATTTGCTATTGACAGGTTGCTTCTCAAGCTGTCTATTCTCTACACAAGACTTCCACTAGAGAAGTAAGTTTTTTTTTCACGGAACAAGTACAAAAATATAACTCATGAGATATCCTGGCAATGCCAAATCTTCGTTTATTTCTCTTTCCTCATGTATTTCACAGTTTTTTTTTGTCTTTGATTGTTCACATTTGTTTTCTTTTTTTGAATTGTCAGCATATCATGAAGGCAGCCTTGCGTGGCTGCAACCCCTGCAGTGCGGAGGTTCTATGCGAGGTAAATATATTATATAAACACCAGTCGCTTTTCCTTGTTACCAGGAATGTGTTTCAGTACTTTGTTCCATATTCCTAACAAGGCATAGAGGTCCCAAAGAAAGCAACTTGACTTTTGTTCATCAGATCATTGCCCTAGAGCCCCGAGTTTTGCTGGTGGTTTTAATCTACCCTTTCCTCTCCTTTTTTCCTGAAAAATTGCAGCTGCGTTACGATCTACCGCAGACGTACAAGTTCCACAAGAAAAAGGAGGTCAACATTGCCGTCGACTTGTGGCGCTTTGTTCCTAACGCCCAACAGCAGCAGCTAGCGTGCTATGCGCCCAGCGGTCCAGGTGATGGAACAGCAACATGAACGAAAAAGGAAAATGGTCAAATGGAGATGTGTGTCTCAAAAGGCCGGACCTGATCGAAGATACCCCACGCGTGGTGTGCTTATCGTCGTCTTGGGTTGACAGTCCCAGTAGCGGGAGCTCGGAATTTGACGAACTGAGTAGAGTTTTGTGGGCACAGGTGCTGTTTCCCTCTCTGTACTGTAGTGTGTACAATGAATGCACGGCGACTCGGTTCTTGAAGTTCCCGTCTGTATGTGTTGTGCTCACATTACTGTATCTCACAATGGATTTGGGTGCCTGTGGAGGACATGGATGTCTTGGCAGAGCATTCTGGGTTGGCACGTTGCACTCATGCGGGCGACCGACAAGCCTTGAGCTCGGGAGGAATTCCAATGAATAGAGAAGGCACTCTACGTGCGGCTGCGGCCTGCCGATGATGCACAGCAGCTCCCCCAGCGCCCTGCCCCTTAGCAGCCTGGGAACGGGAATATGGCCCCCGTTCCCATGTTCCACGTTCCGAGAATGTCTACGTTCTGGAAACGCGAATGCTCCTGTTCCCACGTTATAAAATGATACGTGAGGTTTTCGTTCCGGGAGGAACATGGCTGCTAAGCCCTGCCCACCACGACGCGCCGGCGCCGGTGCTGGTGTGGGAGGCAGCGCAGCGAGCCGAAGGGTGTGCGGGCTGCCACCTGAGCTGCCCGTGCATTCAGGGTTTCAGGCACGGCGCCACACGCGTTGCGCGCGGCCTTTGCAGCTTTGCCGCTGGCTGGCTATACTACCCGCGGCCCGCCTGACGTGCGCGCGCACGAGCCGCGCGGCGGGGGGCGTGACGCGTGCGACCGGAAGGGGCCAACGCCAAGCGCAGCACCGCCGGCCCCCGGCGGAGGCCGGCGTGAGCGTAGTCGCACCTCGAGGGGAGCAGCGAAAAATCCCCACGCTCCAAAACAAACACGCTGGGAGACTTCCGCAGCATCAACAAAAAAGGTCAGTCCCAGTGATGAGACGGTGACCGAACACATGACGCGAGTGGTGGCCCTGCGCCGGGCTGGGCTCGCGCCATACGGACGTTTCAGTGACCGAAGAAATGACGCGAACTGCACAGGCTCTAAACCCGTCTAAGTTCACTGATCGAGTCGTCGCGCGGGCGGCAAACAGCGACCCCACATCACACGATGCCACTAGTCGGTTGAACACCCTATTTTATGTGTGTGTTTTTTTCCATGCCCTAGTTGCATTTGTGACGCCCACTATGTTCGTTCGTTCGACCCAGGCCGACCAATGAGGCCGTGTTATTCCTCTCCACGGCCGGGACGTGAGACGGCATAAGCCATGTTTGTCACGGCTAGCTCCTGCCTCGTCTATATAGCCAAGGCCACGGCGCCAAGCGGCATGGGCATCGATCGATCTCACGAGCCTTTGTTACCTTATCCCTGAGGCTAGCTAGCTACGAACGGCTACGACGACGCCATGTTCAGAGATGTCCTGAAACCAACGGCCACCGCCAGCAGGTGCAGGTGCAGGTGCAGGTGCAGCCACAGGGCTCCAGATCATGCACGCCCCTTCACTCCGCCAAATGCCATCAAGGTATCATGCAGTGATGATGATGCAAATAAACCTGTTGCTTAACCTTGTCTTTGTCAGCTATGTATGCATATTTAGGCTGTACTCCTAGCTAGTATTCCTGCACTGCACATGGCTGCGTGGCAAAAAAAAAAGAGAGCTTCAAGCCTGTCAATTCTGAAACTCCCTGTTACCAGATGAACGAGTGCATGCAGGATGCATTCCACACACTGGAGATACTAGTATATACATCTATAGTACGTAACAGAATAACAAGTAACAACGAGGCCGTACCATCCTAAACATAATAATTTCTCGTCAGTTTAGGTGCCACCATCTCCTGGATTGAAGAAGCAGGCCCTCCTCATACAGGGAATGTCGCAAACTCTGAAGTCAGTCTCTTCAAATCTCCTTGAGCGATTCATAGACAGGGCTTACAGATTCTCTGAGCAGCCTTCTCTGAATGAGGTAAGAATGTAAAGATGCATGATTTTATTTGCTATTTTAAGTTTCAACTTAAAAATATTATCATTACTCGTGTCTCGTGGCATTTGGGAAAAAGAAAGAAAGAAAATAAGTGTGAAATTCATAACTGGCCTATAGGCTGCACTGGCTCTTTCCAGCATATTTTTGTTAGTCTGTTTTACTTATGCAGTACTTTCTCCATCTACTGACAGTGTCAAAGGTGCTTCTTTTAATACCCAATATGCAATGTCTATATATGAGCAAATTTTCCCAGCTCTTGACATTACTGAACTCATGCATATTATTACTCACTACAATTAGACAAATAAAATCGACCAAGTCCTCTACAGGGGAATTTTCGACCTGTCAACGAAATCGACGAGGCAGTTTTACTCAACAATCTTGACGGGGAGGTCCCTGGAGATTTTCCTGAGGGTGTCTACATCAGAAATGGTGAGCTATACACTTAAGCCATGTAAAATACAGTATGAATTACTCCTCACAGTTGCATCGATGGGTTCCACATTCACAACACAAAACCAGTAAAATGTTTAGGAAGCTATCATCCAAGTAACTGATGTATAATTTTTGGACCTGCGTCGAAACTAAAAGGGAATATCCATGTCTTGATGTATTGTACTACTTTAATTAACAGGTCCGAACCCTCTCAACCCAACACAGACAATCGCAGATTCCATATTTGGTTCAACATCATACATGTATTATGAAGGTCATGGCATGTTACATGCTGTGTATTTTAACAAGAGCAGTCTAGGAGAATGGAAGATATCGTACAGGAACAAGTATGTGAACTCAGACACCTTTCAGTTGGAGAGAAAAAAAAATCAAGTGGCTTTTGTGCCATCTGCTGATGGACAGCCCTATGCAACACTAGTTGCATTTCTTCTTAATATTGTAAGTCTTACAGAACTTGACGGTAAAGGGTAAATTCAATTTTAATTGGTAAACTTAGTTGTGATAAACACTAATTTCTATGTCAGATATTCCAGTGCATTTTGTTTTCTTGGAAATTATAATCTCATGAAGAAAGGATGACACAGTATGAGTAGAAGATAATCTGCTTCATTAATCTTTTAGAACTCAGAAAGCGAATGATGGAACTCTTTATTTGTAGATGTAATTGCTATATCGGTTCTTCTGCAATGCTGACAGAAGTTTTATGCATGGCGTAGTTGAGATTTGGAAAGGCTGTGAAGGATAGCGCAAATACTAACATATTTGAGCACGCTGGACGAGCTTTTGCTATCACGGAGAACCACCTGCCTTACGAAATCAACATCAATAATCTCAACACACTAGGACTTTATAACATCAATGGAGCTTGGAACCAACCTTTCACTAGTCATCCAAAGGTATGAAATGGCAGCTGTCAATTATTTCTCCTACAAACTCCTTGCAAAGAAAGAAAAATTTGAGTTCATTAATTCTAACCTTCATTTAATAAGCACAAGTTCACACTATGGTTTACCAATCCACGGGCAAATGATTTTCAACCCACAAGTTCTCGCTATGGTTCACAATTTAATAAGCACACAAGAATGGAGCATTTTAAATGCTATTTAGAATGTGCATAGGAACTAACCTATTCAAGATTCTTATTAGATAACTGTAACTCTTCAACAACACATGCTCACATTATGACTTGTTTGTACAGAAAATTCATGGGAGTGGAGAACTGGTGATAATGGGGACAAATACTGAAAAGCCCCACTATGTGCTTGGAGTAATTTCATGTAAGTTGTTGGGAAATGTTAATCAATCCGCCATCTAACAGCTAAAATAATATACATCAAGATAGAAGTAACATTATTTAGGTTAGTAGCTGAATTAACTGATCAAGATAAACCATTCCAAATATGAATGTGAAAAATAAATAAATGGATACATTAATATCAAGTTTTCTTCTATCTCTGGCATTACCTTAGTTGCTCACTGATAGCATACACCACCAAAATTTGTGAAAGAAAAGAAATGTCTTTCAAATTCTATTACAACTGCATTTAACTATTGATCCCCTTTCACATGAATTAGCTGACGGTGAGAGGCTTGTTCATAAGGCTGATCTCAAATTTGAGGAAGGGAAACTCATTCATGACATTGGAGTAACTAAAAGGTATATGCTTTATTTTTGTTTAGGAGTCATTATAGCTTTCTTTTAAACATCACCTTTTCTTAAACAATTCTTTCATATTATAGGTACAATATTATAATGGACTATCCTCTCAGATTCGACATATCCAGGACATTCTTACGAAAGCCGTGAGTGAACTCCGCATGTATCATCTTTACCGTGGGAATAACCTTCTGGAGGGTAAATACACTACAAATTCTGCCATAATAACATGTACATATTTATCTTCAGATTTATCGAAAATGATATGAATGGAAAATCGCGTATCGGGGTAATGCCTCGTTTTGGTGATGCTGAGTCCATCATATGGTTTGATGTCGAGAACCACTGCAGTTACCATTTATTTAACTGCTTTGAGGATGGAAATGAGGTAATTCCTACAAAATCTAAACATACCATGAAAAATATACACAAAAAGCATCATTATCCAAACTGCCCATACGAAAACATTCCTCCTTCTATATATGGATGATACTAATAACATGTATCAGGAGTTGTTAATATTTTCCTCTTTTGCTTACTTTGATAAAAAGCCTATTAATAGGTTGTTATCAGAGGATGTCGACTACTTGGTTCTATTATCCCTAGTGGACGCCATAGAGTTGACAAATCAAAATGGTATGGAAGGGCATTTCTCCAACCAGATAAGGATTCAGAAGATTTTGATCCTTCACTAGATGGCAATCTCTTTTCTCGCCCATACGAGTGGAGATTAAATTTGGAAAACGGCAGTGTACATGAAGGTTATATTACCTGTGAGAAGGTTGCAATGGATTTCCCTGTCATTAATGACAAATTTATAGGTATTCAAAACAAATATGGATATGCTCAAGTTGCTGACTCATTAGCCACTAGTAAAACAGGTAACATTCTTACTGTATAGAGTTCTGAAATATTGTAAAATTCTTGTTGTCCAATCTTAGCATACACTTCGTGGCATGTGTTCATGTTGTTCTAAGTTATTTGAATCATCTCTAATGCTGTATGTAATTAGTTCTGTATAATGATACAGGCTTGTTTAAGTTCAAGATGATAGCAAAGCTACGACCTGCCAGATAAGGTTAGTGGTTATTAGTACCAGATATATATCTGTTAGTACATACTAAAGTATCAGCAAAATCTCCAGGAAAACAAACAATTGATCTCAGTAGAGTACCACGCTTTGCAAGAGAAACAATTCTGCTCTGGAGTTCAGTTTGTTGCAAAGGAAAACGGAATCGACGAAGATGATGGATGGATAGTCACTTATGTCCATGACGAGGGAACAAACGTCTCTCAGGTAGTTAAACTATCTACTTAAAAATCATACAACACTGCATCATCATTTCTATGCATTCATTAATTTATCAGATTTCTTGTCTTCTGCAGGTTCATATTATCGATGCAAAGAGATTTTCAGAGGAGCCAGTAGCAAAAAATACTTTGCCTCAGAGAGTTCCATATGGTTTCCATGGGAACTTTTTCTACACAAGTAATCAGAGATGATGCAATGGTTAGGCCTGGTGTATGAATTGTAACAAGCCATTACACTGTTTGAATAAAATATTTCATTTTATGGTTGAAGGATCAATAGACTACTTATTAGGTGCTAAATTAGGATGGGCATGGATCGATCTATTGACCCCAAGGGTATCCGTTGATCACCCCATCCTCATCCTTAGGTTAAATTAATTACAGCCATGTTCATGTAGCAACTTCAAGAATGGATCGATAAGTTCAGAGATAATGCTCTGAATCTGTCTATGATTCCCCTTGGTTGATGTAGCACTATTAGTTAATACTCTAAACTGTTTGTCGCTGCCAGACACAACGCAATCCATGTGCGCGCGTTCCAATTCTGCCGACTCGATGCCAAATGAGATCACCTAGCAGAGCAGGAGTGAGTATATTCCATCCTCGATATTTCTCACTGGCGTTGCTATCACTCATCGTCACCATCCTAAAGAACAAAACATAGCAGGGACAAATTTAAACCTGCCACCTCGAGGCTGCGTTCCATTGGGCAATGGCCATGCCCTCGCAATCCATGCATGCGTTAAACAAAACCCAAGCTGCATGGTTGCTGAGTCAGAGATGGAACACCAGCACCTACTGCCTATTTTATGTGTTTTATTCCCACACATGTCTCCACAAGCCATGTTTGTCGTCCCGGCTAGCTCCTGGCGCGCCTTTATAGCCAAGGCCACAGCGCCAAGGCATGGGCACATCAGTAGCCATTGTTATCGATCCCTGTGGCTACTACGCCGCCACCGCCGACGCCGACGCCGACGCCGCCATGTTCAGAGCTGGCCTGAAGCCGACCACCAGCAGGTGCAGGTGCACCCACAGCCACGGGGCTCCAGATCATGCACCCCCCTTCACTCCGCCAAATGCCATCAAGGTATCATGCAGTGATGCAAACCTGTTTCTGATCCTTGTCTTTGTCAGCTATATACTTGTATAGGAGTGGGCTGTATAGTTAGCATTCATGCAGTGCGACAGAGCTGAGTGGCAAAAAGAGCTTTAAGCCTCAGTTCTGAAACTCCGTGCTATCAGATGAATGAGTGCAGGATGCAAATGCATTCAACACACTGCTAGATACTATACTATATACATCTATAGCAACAGAATAACAAGTAACGAGGCCGTACCATTATACAGTTTAGCAATATTCCAATATATATTTATATATAGTTATATATACCTTGAAGGCTTGAATAAGTAACTTGAATCTTTGCGTATTGCAATGTGGTGTTCTATTCATTTAGATAAAAAAATATAATAAGATGGTATATGTACGATAAGAATGCCACACCACTAATTCATGCCGTCGGTTTAGGTACCACCATCTCCTGGGTTGAAGAAGCAGGCCCTCATACAGGAAATGTCGCAGGCTCTGAAGTCAGTCTCTTCAAATGTCCTTGAGCGATTCATTGACAGAGCTTACACATTCTCTGAGGATCCTTCTCTGAATGAGGTAAAAATGTATGTAAAGATGCATGATTCAATTTGCTCTTTTTTCTCGCTTGCATTCCTTACTATAACTTTTAGGTTTCAACTTAAAAACAAATGAAATAAGCCTGAAATTAACTAGCCCATGGGTTGCCCTGGCTCTTTCCAGCATATATATTTTTGTTAGTCTGTATTACATATGCAGTACTTTCTCAATCCACTGATAGTGTCAAAGGTACTTTTAATAATGGAAAATGCAAATGTCTATGGGCAAACTTTCCCAGCTCATGATGTTACTGAACTCATATTACCACAATTAGACAAAAACGTAAAATCGAGCAAGTCTTCTACAGGGGAATTTTCGACCTGTCAACGAAATCGACGAGGCAGTTTTACTCAACGATCTTGACGGAGAGGTCCCAGGAGATTTTCCTGAGGGTGTCTACATCAGAAATGGTGACCTCCAGTTCTTAACTCATGTAAAATACAGTATGAATTACTCTTTGCAGCTGATTCAATTTGGTTCCAGATTCACATCACACTACATTTAAAATGTTTAGGAAGCTATCATCCAAGTAACTGTATAACTTTTGGATAAGCTGCACTTAAAAGAGAGTATCCATACCTTGATGACTTGATTGATGTATTGAACTACTTCAACAGGTCCCAACCCTCTCAACCCAACACAGACAATCGCAGATTCCATATTTGGTTCAACATCATATATGTATTATGAAGGTCATGGAATGTTACATGCTGTGTACCTTAACAAGAGCAGTCTAGGAGAATGGAAGATATCGTACAGGAACAAGTACGTGAACTCAGACACCTTTCAGTTGGAGACAAAAAAGAATGATGTCGCTTTTGTGCCATCTGCTGATGGACAACCATATGCAACACTAGCCGTATTTCTTCTTAATATTGTAAGTCTTACAGAACTTGACAGTAAAAATAACAACCAAGGGTAAAATTAATTTTAATTGGTAAAGCTAGTTATGAATTATGATAAAGACTAATTTCTATGTCAGTTATTCCAGCATATTTTTTGGGTGATAATCTCATGAAGAATGGATGTTATAGTGTAGAATAAGATAACCCGCTTCATTTTTAATCTTTTAGAACCCAGAAAGTGAACGGCGGAACTCTTTATTTGTAGATATAATTGCTATATCGCTTCTTCAGCAATACTGACAGAATTTTTATGGCGTAGTTGAGATTTGGAAAGGCTGTGAAGGATAGCGCAAATACTAGCATATTTGAGCACGCTGGACGAGCTTTTGCTGTCTCGGAGCACCATCTGCCTTACGAAATCAACATCAATAATCTTGACACACTAGGACCTTATAGCATCAATGGAGCTTGGAACCAACCTTTCACTAGTCATCCGAAGGTACGAATTACCAGCTGCAATTATTGCTCCTACAAACTCCTTGAGAAAAAAATAAGGGGGAGACTTTGTTCTAACCTTCATTTTAGGACCGTTTACAGTCCACGGGCAAATAATTTTCAACCCACAAGTTCACACTATGGTTCACAATTTAATAAGCACGCAAGAACGGAGCATTTTTAATGTTATTAAGAATATGCATAATATATGAACTAAATTATTCAAGATTCTTATTAGGTAACTACAACTCTTCAACAAAACATGCTCACATAATGACTTGTTTGTACAGAAAATTCATGGGAGTGGAGAACTGGTGATAATGGGGACAAATAGTGAAAAGCCTCACTATGTGCTTGGAGTAATTTCATATAAGTTGGGAAATGTAAATCAGTCCATCTACAAGCAAAATAATACATTACAATAGAAGTACTAGTATTTAGGTGTAACTACTGTTTAAAAACACAATAAATTTATTTAACAGCCTACTAGTAGCTGCATTAACTGATCAAGATAAATCATTCCAAATATGAATGTGAAAAAAAATAAATGGACATTAATATCATATATTCATCTATCTCTGGCATTATTAGCACTATCTCAGTTGCTTACTGATACATACACCACCAAAATTTTGCAAGAAAAAATGCCTTTCAAATTCTATTACAACTGTATTTAACTATGGATGCCCTTTCACATGAATAAGCTGACGGTGAGAGGCTTGTTCATAAGGCTGATCTCAAATTTGAGGAAGGGAAATTCATTCATGACATTGAAGTAACTAAAAGGTATATGTTTTATTTTGTTTAGGAGTCATTTTAGCTTTCTTTTAAACATATCTTTTTTCTTAAACAATTATTTCATGTATAGGTACAATATTATAATGGACTATCCTCTCAGATTCGGCATATCCAGGACATTCGTATAAAAGCCGTGAGTGAACACCTCATGTATCATCTATGCTGTGGGAACCACCTTTTGGGGGTACACTACAGATTCTGCCATAATAATGTGCACATATTTATCTTCAGATTTATTGAAAATGATATGAATGGAAAATCACGTATCAGGGTAATGCCTCGTTTTGGTGATGCTGAGTCTATCATATGGTTTGATGTCGAGAACCACTGCAGTTACCATTTATTTAACTGCTTTGAGGATGGAAATGAGGTAATTCCTACAAAATCCAAGTACACCATGACAAATATACATAAGAAGCATCATAATCTAAACTCCCATACGAAAATATTCCTTCTATGGATGATATTAATAACGTGTATCAGGAGTTGTTCATATTTTCCTCTTTTATCTACTTTGACCAAAAGCCTATGAACAGGTTGTTATCAGAGGCTGTCGACTACTTGGTTCTATTATCCCTAGTGGATGCCATAGAGTTGACAAATCGAAATGGTATGGAAGGGCATTTCTCCAACCAGATAAGGATTCAGAAGATTTTGATCCTTCACTAGATGGCACTCTCTTTTCTCGCCCATATGAGTGGAGATTAAATTTGGAAAATGGCAGTGTACATGAAGGTTATATTACCAGTGAGAAAGTTGCAATGGATTTCCCTGTCATTAATGACAAATTTATAGGTATTCAAAACAAGTATGGATATGCTCAAGTTGCTGACTCATTAGCAACCAGTAAAACAGGTAACATACTTACTGTAGAGAGTTCTGAAATATTGTTAAGTTGTTCTTGTTGTCAACCTTAACATGCACTTCATGGCATGTGTTCATGTTGTTTTAAGTTACTTGAATCATCTTGAATGTTGTATGTAATTAGTTCTGTGTAATGATACAGGCTTGTTTAAGTTCAAAATGATAGCAAAGCTACACTTCGACATGCCAAATAAGGTTAATGACTATTAGTATTGTACAAAGTACCAGATATATATTTATTAGTACAAACTAAAGTATCAGAAAAATCTCCAGGAAAACAGAGAATTGATCTCAGTGGAGTACCACACTTTGAAAGAGAAACAATTCTGCTCTGGAGTTCAGTTTGTTGCAAAGAAAAACGGAATCGACGAAGATGATGGATGGTAGTCACTTATGTTCATGATGAGGAAACAAACATCTCTCAGGTAGTTAAAATGTCTACTTAAAAAGCATGCTACATTGTATCATTATTTCCATGCATTCCTTAATTTATCAGATTTCTTGTCTTCTGTAGGTTTATATTATCGATGCCAAGAGATTTTCAGAGGAGCCAGTAGCAAAAATTACTTTGCCTCAGAGAGTTCCATATGGTTTCCATGGGAACTTTTTCTACACAAGTAATCAGAGATGATGCAATGTTTAGGTTGGTTTATGAATTGTAACAAGCCATTATACTGTTTAAATAAAATATTTCATTTATGGTTGAGGGATGAATAGACTGCTTAGGGGCTAAATTAGGATGGGCATGGATTGATCCATTGATCCCAAGGGTATCCATGGATCACCCCATGCTCATCCTTAAGTTAAATTACAGCCAGGTTCACATAGCAACTTTAAGAAATAAGAATGGATCGATAAGTTCAGAGGTAATGCTCCAAATCTGTCTATGATTTAGCCCCTTGGTTGATGTAGCACTATCAGTTAATACTCTGAACTGTTCATATAGCAACATTGGATAATGCTGAGGAATACAGCAATATGCCCAATGGTGATATCTGAAGGAATATAGTTATAACATCATCCCCTTGGTTGAGTTTCAAGAGTGATTTTGATCGAAAGGATAGAGAGAACAAAAGATCCCCACATGGAGAAAGGCACAAATTAGGGAGGCAGCAATAAGCAGAATAGTGGCCGTACCATTGGTGATGCAACCAGGTGATAGAGCTAGGAGCTTCACTGTCGAGCTGGCTGGCTGCTTCAAACCTGCTTTGCACCACTGTCTGCTAATGCTGCATGCCCACTCGACTTCAACGGATGAGCAGTAAAGAACCTGCAATAGATGCTGGGGACCTAAGATTAACAATTCATCTTTTTAACTGGGGACAAAATCAACTACACATACAAGGTTACAACCTAGAAAAGGTTGTCCTTAAGACCATGATCAGGTATTTCCCGGACACCAATACCAAGGATTTTTTTTTTTTTTAGAATCAATACCAAGGATTTTTTGAAAAACTAAACAAAAAAAAAAAAAAAACACAAGACAATGTGAAAGAGAAAAAAAAATGTCAAGATTGGCAATGAAAAAGTACTTTATTGCACTGCATCCAATATACAAATTCGTTTCCTTATCTTCATTGATTAAGGTTGGAAACTGATATGTTGGACATGCATTAGAACACAGATGAGTGGCCCAATCCTGTTTTAAGGCACCTATGGCTCTACTTCTGAATCAGGAGGGCGTCAATGTTTCGCTTGCCCTCTGGACCTTTGCTATACCAAGATGAGACATAGTCACCATAAATTACATCCCGATACTTTTGTGGCTCATCCTTGCTCACAAGCTGTGGGGCAGTGCATATTTTACTTGATTTTGATGGATCATAAAATGTTGCTACTGATAAGCGGGCACGCTCAGCATTGACAACAGCTCGATGAACTGAACTCTTGTATCTTCCATTGGTGATGATCTAGAGAAGGGTAAAAAACATGAGTAAAATGATTAAGGGAACAAGATTCTACATAAAGAAAAATATTCATACAACACTTTGGTCACAATCCTCTGCAAAAGTGCACATTAAAGGTGGAGGGGCATCACCATAGGTCATAAAAAAAGGGCAGAGCACTAAAGCAAAAATTGATGGCATAGCAGATTAAGGTACATTACCTCTGTCTGATCAGCCAGAATCACAAGGATGCCATCATGCAAAGCAGGCACAGGTATCCACATTCCATCCTTCAATACCTCGAGCCCACCAACATCATCTTGTATCAGAAGTGTAATTGCGCCCATATCAGAATGAGATTGTAACCCAAGAGCAAGATCAGGTTGTGGACAAGGAGAATAGTAGCTAATAGTAATATTCTGGTAAACTTCTCCAACCGCCTCTTGTATATAAGATGGTGGTAGGTTCAGATTTTCTGAGATGATGCACAGCAATTTTTGAGCAAGATCCTTCATGCTGTTGCTGTATTTTGCAATAGTATCCCTGTAAAAAGTACATGGTGTTATCTCATGTGTTATAGACAAAAGTAACATGCTGAATATGGACAGCGATGGAAACAGGATGCTTAAATATTTTATTCTTAGTAAGATGATCACTCATAGATTTTTCATATAATGGTGCAGGAGCATACAGTTAGATTCTCCAGACTCTGATATCATACTCAGCAGTCAGCACTATCCAGTATGCTATCAAAGAAACCAATGCAACGGTGTCACCCCAAAGCGGCTATATTTGGATAGAAGTTCAAAAATTAAAATCAGAAAACTAAACATCCTTTGTGCTTTAGCAAGTCTTGGTCAATTGGTCTTCTAGGCTGTGGCATGACCTGAATCTCAACCTCTCGACAGAGACAATTAAAATGAAGACAGCTCAATGCTCCCCCAAACCACTTTCAACTTGTCTCCACATCTGAGCATAAATTCCCTACATGTATTATGCTTATCAACTCTACCCTCTCATTCCTGTATGATTTTTTCATGACCAGACTTGTACTCGTAGCAATTCGTGACTCATCCGGAGATGAGCTGAACAGACAGGCAGGATTCCCATGAATCACCTGTAACCGGGGACGAAGTCGGGCCAGTGGGCGGGATCACGGCGGGACTCCGGGAGCGTGTGGTGGTCGAAGCAATCGCGCCAGTCGGGCACGGAGTCGTCGTTAGCGAGCATGCGGCTGCCGTACCCTTCCGCGGCGGTGCCCCTGGCCGGGTCGCAGGCGAACCGGAGCTTGTCCCCCATGGGCGCACGGAAGAAGGCGAGCCCGGCCTCACGCACCGCGTCGAGGAGCTCCCCCGGCAGGCCGTGTCCCACCACGTGGAAGGCGCCCCAGTCCGCGCACGCGGCGCGGACGTCGTCGGCGGCGGTGGAGGACGAGAGGTCGACGACCGGCACGGAGAGCGCGGCGGCAACGGGGGAGGGCGAGGGGGTCGGGCGGTTCTCAGGCGGCTGGATGTACTGCGCCGGGAGGCGGGACACGCCCGTCTCAGCGAGGTCTTGGACGCGCGCCGGCGCGGCGGTTTCCATCGGAGCGGCGGCGAAGGAAAACTCAGGCGATGTTGTGGCGAGTGGTAAAAACGCAGTTATCCGAGTACATACGGCATCTAGTTGTATTAAGCGAGTTTTCAAGTAAAAAAGCTAGGCAAAAATAAATATATAAATTAAAAAAGAGGGGCGTTGCGAGAATCGAACTCGCGACCTCTCGCACCCAAAGCGAGAATCATACCACTAGACCAAACGCCCTGATATGGTTAAAAGTTGAATTATATTTTATATAAATCATAAATGTGTAATCTAAAGAAACTATCTTATACTGATAGGCATTTGGCTTTCATGCGTGCTGTTAGATAGGCTGTTGCGTAGTTTTCAAATCATTTTCTGGAAATACATCAAGGAGAAGTAAGTTGAAAGTGTCACGTGGAGAGCTTCAGCAATCAACACACAGGTGATGCAATTTTCAGGTCATGGTTGAAATTGACATGGTTATGCGCAGAGGTAGAGCTTCAGGCTTCTGATTTTCAGTTCCTGACTGAAATCTAAGATCAACATACACTTACTGTTGTATTTGATCTATCAGTATCAGGGTCAAGGTACAAAGTAACCTAGCATCATTCGTTCTTGTTATCACATATCACCCCATATGGATGAAGCTGGTGACTAGACAACCGATGTCACTGTGCAAAAACCATTCAGCAAGTTGCAAGTTCTGAAGCTGAAAGACCAGTACAAACTGCTTCCCGTCAGAAGAATGCATCAAACCTAAGTACCAAAAACAGCAGAGCTGCTGACTTCTCTGAAACTATCTGAACACGAATGAAAAGAAAGCCAATTCTCATGTCGGTGTTTCGGGAGCAGCAGCACTTTTGAATTCTGAAGAGATGAATTGTGAAGGGGTTGTCAGGAGTCCTGCCCTCATACACCTCTTGGGTTTACCACCAGGAACCGCAATTCCTGAACAACTGAATTCACAAGGGAACAAGTAAGAATTAAGAAAATAAGGCAGTTACACAGCGTAGCATGGGTAATCAACTTTTGCAGCAGTTCACTTTTAGTAATCTTATTGTCTGACAAGTAAAACAGCTGAAACTTTCAGGAAACCAAGTATTGTCCAAAATTAAATTTATATCTGTACCATTTTAGCATCTGTGGAAAGGATTGCAGACCCACTAGGAACTGTAAATGCAAGTTTACTATAGACCTGATACTATTTTCGTTCAAAATTTTCTTCCAATGTACAGCATTTTCAGATTAATACAATCCAAAGAAAGCATAGAATTTCTTCAAGTAAGCATAACTCGATTCTTGGATGTAAAATATTAAATACTAAGAAAATGATACTGAATGCAGCTGCTATTTTATTAAACCTGTAGAGTTACTGTGAGCTATGCTACACATTACCCAAACCCAAGCTATGGTTTGTACCACATCAGCATGATATACTGAACATCTGTCACCAACCCACCATACGATCACTGGAAAATGCAAAGATCACTCACCCTGTGTCCTGATGATGAGGACGATGATGTCCACGGTCTCCTCGTTGCGAGGCAGGTCGATGAGCAGCGGGGTCAGCCGCCTGTAGCGGCCGCCCTGGACGCACATCAGGATGCGGAAGAACAAGAACGCATTGCCCGTGCGGCGCGCCACCTCCCCTCTCAGCTCGAACACGGAGCGCCCTATGAACTGGAACGTGCCCCAGTTGTTCGGGAAGTTCCCGTAGTTGTCCGCCCGCACGAACCGTATCGTCCGCTGCAGCTGCACGGGCTCCTCGTGCAGGAGGAACATGCCGTGGAAGCTGCGTCGGTTGTTCTGTTACCATGGAACACGCTCGTGTTTAGGAAATCAGGACAAGTAGACAACACTAGTTCTGAATAGTGCACATTGTAATGGGGACAAGATGTTCAGACACAGGCAATCAGCTTTAACCATGATCTAGCAAGAAATGACCAAATAGCTAAAAATGATTCAGATATACAGATGAAGCAAATCTTAATCTGAGAGATCAACATACGACAGACAGCCAAATTCTAAGGATCAGCTCCTAAAGTTTAGACTACTGAAACAAATGGGAAGGCGAATAGGACCAAAAACTCCTCCTCCCTGGGCTCCAAATGCAGGGGGTGCAAGGATTCAAGAAACCAGAACTCTACGGCTCCCTAGGAGCTGGACCTACAGGAACAAGAATTGGTAATCTTGGCACAGAATTGATCCAGGACTGCAGAAAAGCAATAATCCCATTTGGCAGTTCTTGGAAAAATTGACGCAAGCAAAGAAACATCCAGCGCTGGTTCTTCAAGTACAGGTTCCACAAATCGGAATTGTAGGTTCCATCCAAGAACCCTGCTCCGCCCAAACCAATGCGAGAAGCCGAGGCGAGGGGTGCAAGGCAATAGGGGTCTCGGGACGGGCGAGCTTACCGGAGTCCGCGCAAGTACTGGCGGATTAGGGCTCGTGGGGATGGTCTCGACCTTCCAATGCATCATCGTGCTCTGGTTGTCGACGTCGTCGACGGAGACGTCGCTGAGCCAGAGGCGGTACCTGCTGTTGGCGCGGAGGAGGCGGTTGGAGACGTGGCGCAGGAGGACGTAGCCGGCGTCCCCGGTGCCGACGACCTTCCACAGGATGGGGTCCACGTCTTGGTCGTAGTCGCCCAGGTCGACGCGGAGGCCGATGTGGCCTAGCGGCGCCGGGTCCTGCGTGGCGGCAAGGTAGCGGCCGTAGGCAGCGCTGTGGAGGAGCATGCTGGTGGAGCCGTCCTACAGGATGCGGTGCACCGTCCACGCCGCGTTCATCGTCTTGTGGCACCAGCGGCGCAGGGACACCCCCATCCCGTCCTCGTCGGCGTGGAGGTACCCTCCGTGCACGCGGCTCCGTAGCCACACGTGCGCCCCGTCGGGGAACTGCTCCATCGCCGCCGCTGGTGGTGGTGGTGTACTAGTGTTCGCGGAGGCGTCCGGTAGTAGCGATTCGGTTTCTTGGCTCTGGTGCTTCTTCGGCTGCGGGGTGGCGGACGGCGGCGAGGGAGTGGGTTTTATTGGCGCTGTTGCGAGGGGGAAGAGTGAGCAGAGCAAGTTCGTTGGGGGACGGTTACGTTTGGGCGCCGAGGTGGGGCGGGCCGGGGAATTTCAAGGCGAGCAGCCGATGCAATGCTTCCTGTTGAGTCGCAACGCAAGCGGAGGTCGGTTGTTCGCTGTCTCCATTGCCACTGACAGATGGGGCTGGATCAGTGAGTTTGACCAATCGCCTGCCCACTGGCATGTGGGGTCCACAAATGTGTACGACACAAACTCCGGAACCGTGGAACGCACGCGCGCAGCCGCATCCGCGCCGCTCGGCGCAGGGTGGCGACCGTGGCAGGGCCTCTGCCGGCACAAGCACCGCTCGCCGCATCCGTTCCATTCTGGAACCTCGCTTGGCGAGCGTGGTATCCACTACCACTATCCACCACTCCGACGTCCGGCGGCCATCGCCAGCGGCGCCAGGGCATCCGTGCATAGCTATGGACGAGGCCACAGTTTTAGATGAGTTCGGTTGCCCTTTGTTGTCCTCGGCCAAATGCTGCCGTCGCAGTAAGTTAACAAAGTTCCTCGCTGGGCGTCACCACAAAGTGGCTTTTAGTTCACGACTAAAAGCAGCTAAGTCAGCTAAGTCAGCTTATTCTTTCTCATAGAATATTATTGAATCAGCCAAAACCAGCCGGCTTATGTATCAGCCGAACAGGAAGTTCAGAAAAAAATTGACTATAACATTTGATGTTTTTTTTGAGTCTGTCTACTCTACGAACGTGTGTTTTAGCACAAGGCAACACATGGTTGTTGGCTACATGTAAAACACACAGATTTCAACACAGGAAAAACCATGTGTTTTTGGACTAGCTAGCACATGGTTGTTGGATGCATAAGAAACACACGAATTCAAATACAGGAAAAAACGTGTGTTTTAGAAGAATGTAACACACAAATTTCATCAAGCAAACAAGGCCCACGACTCTGTTGTTTTTGTCTTTTGTTGTTGTCTTCTGTCCAAGTTTTTTGTGGTTGTCTTCTGTCTAAGTAAAGAGTAAGTCAGCCCAGAACCCAATAACTAGGAAGACAGAGAGGCCCACTAAAGATGTACCAGCACATAAACCCCAAAACAACACGATATACTTGGGAAACAAACAGAGCAAACATGGTGTCGGTATTTCGAACAAGCACCGACTAGTAAATTTATAATTGATGCGCGTTAGGCTCGGATGGTGCACTAAAGGACACAAGATTTATACCGGTTCGGGCCGAATGTCCCTACGTCCAGTCTGCTGCTACTTGTGTTATTAGTACCGAAAAAGGTTCGTAGTAGGGGGTACAAATGGTCGAGAAAGGGATTGGCCCCAAGTCTCTGATGGAATGGTCGTAAGGACGCCAAGAGCTCGGTCGCTGCTTGGCCATATGCGTAATGTGTTATGTGTCGAACTGATCCTCTGTGAGTTGATCCGTCCCCTTCGCGGGGTGTCCTGCCCTTCCTTTTATAGACCAAGAGGGAGCAGGGTTTACATGTCAGAGAAAGGAGAAAAAACCAGAGGCCCAGAAGCCTCTCCGAAGGCGCTGGGTCTTCCCTTCCCTCTGAGCCAGCCTCCTGACACAGCCAGACGGTGTCAGAGATGGCACGTTCGCCGGGCGTGCGTGCGTTTGATGATGCCACGCTCTACAAGTGGTCATGTCCCGTCCTGCCCCGCGGGCGGCGTGTCGGACAGGGGTGTTGATCTGCAATCCTCTGGGGAGCGGACGGCGCGGTGACTTCATGTTCGCTATTGTAGAGGACGTGGGTCTCCTTTTGGACCATAGTGGTTGTCGTATGTTCTTGTTAGGTTCCGCGCCCGAGGGTTGAAGGCGGCGCCTACAATACTGTAGGGCGAAAGCCGACGCCTACAATACTATACGGACTCTGCCATGCCTGGAAGGGTCTAAAGCGCCCGTCCCGTCGTACCCTGACGGTACTTTCCTGTAGCGGTGCAGGGCATGGTCCTTGGTACTGCGTTTGACTCGAAC